TGCTTCCGAGATTGGTGCTTTAAAACCCCACTCTCGTTTTTGAAGCTCCTGTAAGCAAGAGTTCTTTTTTTCACGGTTGAAATGCGGGTTGCCACATTTATATTGACTCTTACTGTCATAAAATGTGCCATTTTAACCACTTTTAAGCAAACAATTATGTGGCATTAAGTACTGACAATGTTGTGCAGCCACCACCACCCTCGGTCTCCAGAACTCATCCAGTATCCTAAACCGCATCTACCCGTTGAACCGTAACGCCCAATTTTCTCTTCCTTTTGTAAAAATTTATTTTCAGCTTAATTTTTTTTTCACAAGCGCACTTTTTTTTTGCCGTCTTTTTTTTTTTCTAGTGGAGATACTGGGGATTGAACCCATGACCTTATGCATGCTAAGCATACGCTCTACTCCTGAGCTATAACCTCTCTTCCTATTTTTAGCTTTAAAATGGTTCAGATTTCAGTCAAGGTAAAAGTATGCAACATAAGGTCTCCCACTTTGGGCCTAGCCCCCCAGTTCTGTTCCTGGAAGGACCAGTGTTACGAATTCTGTGTATTTTCATCAATGTTTTATACGTCATAGGAGCAAATAGCTTTTTTCCCACTTACTGGTTTCTTGGAAATCATTTCTGATGATCTAGACTTTCTGTAACTTGTCCAACACATCCCCTGTTGGTGGACACCTGGGTTGTTACCAATTTTTTTGACACAAGCTGCTGTTTTGTGCAAGTATGAGTCCTTCTGCAGGTGAAACTCCTGGAGTTGTGGGCCCCGCAGGATGTGCCCGAGGTAATTTTGATAGCTGAGCAAGTCCCATCTGCGGAAGTTCGTCAGATGCTTGAAGTCTAGCCACCAAAGCACAGGCGTGCGAACCTTCCTCGCACAGCAGACCTCGTCTGTCTGATGCCTGAAAGATGGCATCTCACTGTTTACAGTTGCATTTCTGATGGTTATTGTTTTTAAGTTTTTCTTGGAATCACTTTTCTGTTTCATGCAAAGACACTGAAACTTCTTTTGAAGAGCTGCTGGTAGATTGCTCTGGACGGCGTCACCGTGTATTTTCTGAGCTACAGAGGCTGGGTCACCCGTGAACCTCGGTGATCTGTGTCCTGCCATGGTGATGATGGCAGGGCCAGCACGCACGTTCATTTTGCACCTATTTGGTGCCAGATGGTGCGCTAGGTGCTTCACCCTGCAGCCCCTTGGTAACTTCAGCTTTACTATTTATAAGTAATGTGTCCCCCCTGAAATTCATACGTTGAAACTTAACGCCCCAGTGTGATGGGGTCATGAGGGTGGAGCGTCGTGAATGGGACTGGAGCCCTCCTAGAGAGACCCCACGGCTCCCTCGCCCCTTCCCCACGTGAGGACACAGCGAGAAGACACCGTCCGTGAATCAGGAAGGGGCGCTCACCAGACACCGCACCTGTCGCCGCCTTGATCCTGGGCGTCCAGCCCCAGAACTGAGAGAACTCGCTGGTGGTTGTTGAAGCCCCCTCGTCTGGGGTATTGTTCATTATAGCGACCGGAACAGGCGAGGACCGAGTTGCATGCACACGATTTATTTATTAGTTTTGTTTTGGGGGGAGGTAATTAGGTTTGTTTATTTTTTAACAGCAGTCCTGGGGATTGAACCCAGGGCTACTCAGCTAGACCGTCCCCCTTGCATGTGATTGAAGGGGGCAATTACCAGGACCCCCACACACACCCATCCAGGTTCTCAAAGGCAGCCACTTCCAAATCTCTTACTTCCCTCCATGTTTCTAAGTAAACAGCTTGTTTTTTCTCTTCCTTTCTCTCCTTCCTTTTTTCCTGTTAAGACGGTATCTGTTCATACCACCAAGTAGACATGAGGAATTCTCTTCTATCAGGACCACAGTCCTCCCTCCCCCATGCAGTGAAATGTTTTCATTGTTATGATCGTGTAAACCACGCACTCAGGTGAGCCACGTGGGTGTAAACGCCTGACCGTGTGCATGTGGGCAAGGGCTCTCTCGTTTGGTAGGGAACCTTGAATTGAAGAAGGTGGACACCATCACCCCAGTTCTCCGGAATGGTCAGCCTATACACATGTGCAAGACTCATCACAGGGTGTCTGGGGTGTATAACTGTGAAGTCAGTGTTTTTTTCTATTTCCTGTTTTTTTGTCAAATAGATGTGAGTAATAACTGTGGGCGTGATAAACCAAGGACAGAAACTTTAAGACATGCACTCACACTTTCGGATTTGTCCCAGTGTTTTGGGGGGCGGTGGGAGGTGTGGGATGCCCAGGGGTCAGGATCCAGGTGTCCAGGCTGAGATGCAGGCTGAAAACCAGGGGCCGCTCCTGCCTCCGCCTGGAGCCCGTGGTTTCAAAGCATTTTTTTTTTACTGTGGCAAAATACACATAACATGAAGTTTACCATCCTAACCATTTTAAGTGTGTTGCTCAGTGCCATTAAGCACATTCACACTGTGAGACTCTGTCCCTGTCAAATGCTGACTCCCCCAGCCCCTGGCAGCCACCTTTCTGCTGTCTGTCTCTGAGTTATTCGGGGGGCCTCATGGAAGTGGAGTCCTGCAGGATTTGTCCTTTTGTGTCTGCCTTATTTCACTGAGCGTGTTTTTGAGGTTAGTCCACACTGGCACCTTTCAGAGTCTCCTTTTTGAGGCTGAGTATTATTCCACCGTGTGGGTCCATCGTCTGGCCGCTGGGAGCAGTGCTGCTGTGAGCACGGGTGTCAGGCCTCCACGTTCCTGTTTTCTGTCCTTTTGGGTGAATGTGTGGCGGCGGAGTTGCTGGGCCGTACAGTGACTCTGGTTAACTTTTTGAGGAACCTCCAGACTGTTCTCTGCAGCAGCTGCACCGTCTTACATCCCCAACAGCACGTGGTTATCTTCTTCCAGTTTCTCCACATCTTTTTTTTTAATGGTTGCCACCCTAAAGGGTGTGAAGTGCCAGTTCATTGTGACTTTGATGTGCGTTCCCAGATTTCCTTTTATTTGTGGTGGTTTCCCAGTGTTGAGAGAGTACATGGGATGGTGTTTCTCAAATGCTGGCTGCTAGGAGCAGGTCTGAGTCAGGTCGGGGGTCCTGAGACCCCGCCTGTGCAGCTGGCGCCCCGGGCGCTGCCAACAGGAGTTGCTGGGCCAGGGCCGCTGAGCTGCAAAGACAGATGCTGGGAAGCCCAGGGGCTCTGGGGTCAGGCGGACCTGGTGGTGCAGTGACTTTCTTCCCCGCAGCAGAGCAGTTGTCCCTGCAGCAGACTGCCAAGGGCAGGGAATAAATGACCCCTCCCTTGGTGGTGGCAGCTTGGCCCCTCATGTGGGGGTGGAGATGAGAATGAGCTGCCCAGGGCGGAAAGAAGGAAGCCCAGTGCACAGTGTATGAGCCGGGTGTGGGGCCGACGGTCACCTCCAGGCAAGGGGTCCCTTCCCCACTGGTACCGCCATTTGTGCCCCGCAGCAGCGGGCAGGCGAACGTGGGGGAGCCTCCTGCTTGCCCAGCCAGGTCCGGGTGCACGAGCATTGGGGGGCACCGAGGGCGGTGAAGCAGGATCAGAGCCGCCTGCCCCTCCCACCCACAGAGGGGACCAGGGACCCTGGGTGGTGGTCCTCGGTGCCTTCAGCTGCCTGGCCTGCGTGTGCGACCTACCGGGCGTCAGGACAGGAGATCCTTGAAAAGATGGCGTGTGCTCGTTTGGAGATGTTCTTTTTTCCCCCTTCTTTCCCTTCTGTTTCAGCTCACTCCCCCCGGACACCCTCAGCAGTGAGGCTTTTCTGGAACCTGGCGGGCGTGGACCGCCACCTGGAGAGGCAGTGGGAAGGCTCGCCTGTGTGGTGGTGCATGGAGAGCAGCCGCAGGTGAGGGAGAGGCTCAGAGATGTGAGGCCGTGGAGTTTGCAGGACTTCGATTTTTTGGTGTTTTTTCACAGAGGGGAAGCATCTGTAACAGCGTTCCGGGTGTCGTGCCGCCTTCACCACCAAGCCTCTGGAACCTTCTCATCTTCTTACACTGAGACTCTGTCCCCACTGAGCACAGACGCCCCCAGCCCCGCCCCCGCCGTCTGCTCCCTGTGTCTGTGAACCTGACTCCTCCAGGTCCCCATATAAGTGGAATCGCAGGATTTGTCTGTCTGTGTCTGGCATCTCCCCGAGCATCACGTCCTCGTGGTTCGTCCACTCAGTGCGTCAGGACTTCTGCGGCTGAGTGATGTTCCGTTCCATGGATGGACCACGTTTCATCCATCAGTGGACACTGGGTTGCTTCTGCCTTTTGACCACTGTGGATAACACTGCCATGCAGTTTGGTTTTCTTACCAGACAATCACTCTCAGCTCTTGAGCTGCCCAAACACAGGGGTGCAGGGCTAGGTCTGGGCCCTGGCTTGTAGACCCTGCTCTGAAACATAATGGTCCCAAGTCACATCCTGAGCCCAGCTTTGCATCACCTTGCTTGGCCTCTCAGGACCCAGGAACTGCCCAGGCTGCCCAGTCATCCCCATCTAGAGAGACTGGATCTGGGTGGAGTGGCCCCAAGCTGAGGGCTGGCTGTGTCCGCAGGGAGGACAGTCCAGTCCCCACTTGGGCTGGACCACGTCCCAGGCGTAGCTGCAAGGGGCGCCCCCCTCCCAATTTCTTCTTGACCTCTTCTTCTCCAGGGCGATAGTTTTTTTTGCAAAAGTCTTCCTTTTAATTAAGAAATGCTTAATGAACGTAAAAGAATACAGGTTCATGTGGTCACTTGGAGCACCAGAAAATGAAGCCCCAGCCCCTGACCCTCATTTGGAGAACTCGGACCAGCCACCCCCCGTCCCCAGGGCATCCTCCCCTGGCATCCACTCGCGGGGCACGGAGATGGATGGGCCTGTTGCCTGTGGCCTTGTCCCTGCCCAGCCCTGCACGCATCCGAGCGTCGCCCTTCTCACGCCGACTTCCTCACAGGATGGATTTGGCATCGAGGCGACACAGCTGCAGAGGACCTGCGAGCGTCTGGGAGAGTGAGGAGGGGAGGGTAGCGGGGTTGGTAGCAGGAGTGGAGAGATAGATGTGTGGGGAAACGGGGCTCTGGGGGAGGTCAACTTGGTCTGCGTCCTTTCAGCCTTCAGGGTCCCTTCCCCTGGCTCCCTCTTCAGGGAGGAGCCAAGTCACTCTCTGTAATCACCCAGTGGAAGGTTCTGGAGCCTTCTGAGTCCTAAATTGTGCTGAAGTTGTGTGTGCCGCTCTGCCCATTCCCAGACCTTTTTTGGGAACCCCTCCAGCAGGCACTGTGTCGGGGCAAACTCCTTGTGGAGCTGGAACTGCAGCACAGCAGGGAGCGCGCAGAATGCACAGCTGACAGTAGCAAGTTGTCTGAAGATGCTGACAAGGGCTGAGGTCCCCCCAGCATGGGGGCTGTTTGGAGAATGACACGATGTCACTGTGTCTGGAGAGCAGAGGTCATCAGTGACGAGGACGAGTTGGAACAAGGACTGTCTGCACGTGGGGGGACCTCCGACAGGCCACCGTGGTGGTCTGTGACCTTGCCCTCTGCTGTGGCGTGGGCTGGGGTGGACGGCGGCACTGTCGGCGGTCGTGTGTAGTCTCACCAGTTGTCGGTTAGGGAAGCTCGTGGTGTCGGCCATGTGCAGACTCAGTCTGCGTCAGTGATCATCTGCAGAGCTGACGGTCTGGAGCGCTGGTCATCTGTTGTGACATGCTGTCTGTGGACTGTGGTGGTCTGTGCGGAAGATGGGGACCCACAGCAGAAGGCAGTGAGCAGAGTCTGAGGCCCGGAGGAGTGAGATGGGAACAGAGCGTGGGGCACGTTGAGGGCCCAGGGCAAGAGACGGAGGGAAAGAGGTCCTGGCGGATTCCACTCGTAAGAATTCTGGGAGATGCCGCCTGATGCATAGTGGCAGAAGGCAGGTCAGCGGTTCCTAGGGAGGGGTCATTGGACTAGGAAGGGGCAGAAGCGTCTGGCCCGTTGCTCGGGGCGACAGTGTCACTGGTGCTCGTCCAGCACGGACGCTGATGGACGTGCAGGGGCTGTGGCCGGACGATGCGGACCTTGTGTCTGAGGCCCAGGTGGGTGGCTGGTTTGAACTGAGGGCCCAGGGAGGGCGGGAGCCGGGTCCTCGCTGTTGTCTGAGGGTGGCTGGCTCTGGGCGTCAGAGGCGCCGTCTTTGCCGACCGCTTCTGCGAAAGTATCTGCCTTCATTTTTGGAACTGAGGTGAGCTGCGTCCAGCGCAGCTCGGGATCGTGTCTGAGGACGGGCGATGCAAGACCTAAGAAACAAAGAGACAAAGAGCGAAGGTGGGACCAGGGGACTCGATCTTGTGGACCCAGAGCCCCAAAGCCGGGTCGATGTCATATTTATCAGGGGTACACAGCTCAGAAAAAAATGCGATCAAAGAGGGGGGCTTTAGACATTCCTTGCGGTAAGCGCTAAGTTCTGCTTGTGGGTTCACTGATGAATTTCAGGCCATCCCTTCCAGGAACAGTCACTCTCCTGGGGGTGTGCAGAATTTCTGAGTCTATCCTGTCGCTGCCTCCGGGACATCTCGAGATAGCGAGCACGTCCCCTGGGTTCAGCAGCAGCTTTCATGCCAGAACAAAGTTCTGTTAATGGACGATCTGGCTTTCCAGGACCATCTGTTTCACCCTAAGGAAATATCTGCCCTCCTTCGTGCCCTTATGGTCAACGTCAGGATCACTCGCCACACATTTTCTTTAGCGTGACATGTGCTATAGATCATCTATTGCGCCAGACATTAAAACAAAGCAAGCATGTGCATTTTAAGCAAGCAAGTGTGAATATAATATATTAAGCTCGTGGAAATTTAGGAGTGGCTTCTTTTCTAGCCGCTTGTTGTCCAGCAGGTTGTTTCCCAGAAGAGGTGGGAGCACGGCGGTGACACGGGGCAGGAGGGTGAAGACGGTCTGGGGGCTGCTGAGGCCCCTCCCGGCCTGCTCGTATTTGATGCGTGAGTCACGTTCACTGGTGCGCGGGCCTGACATTCTCCTGTGGTGGCTCACCCCACCCTCGTCCACTCCCAGCTGCCAGGTCCCACCGCGTTTGGGTCTGCTCTCTGCTGTGGGCTGGTGGGCCTCTCTCGGGTCCGGGCCTCTCTTGGGTCCTGGCCTCCAAGCACCCTTCCATTTGCCCCAGAACCCTTTCTGTCAGAGCCTGTTGGAGGTGGCATGGCTGGCCGGGAGCCAGGGTCACCTGGGGGCACTGCTGACGCACAGGAGGGGCCAGTAGAGAGACGACCTCAGAACGGACTGCGTTTGGAGGCGGGGTCTTTACTGAGGAGATGAAGCTGAAGCCAGCAGGGTGGCCCCGATGACGGGACAGCTAAGAAAAGGGGACCCAGGCGCACAGAGGGATGACCACTGGAGGACCAGGCAGGAGTCGGCAGTCTGTCCACCGCCAGGGAGGCCTCAGGAGGAGCTGGCCTCTGACACCTGAACCTGGACGGCCCGTCTCCAGGACTGTGAGACAGGAATGTCTGTGACTCCGACCGCTGGGTCGTGGCGCTGGGTCGTGGGCGGTAGCACACCGTCTCCCGGTCTTGGGAGCAGAGCGGGCGTGATCGTGTGTGTGGGCACAGTGGGCACAGAGCCCCTGTGTGGGAACTGTGGGTGGTGGGCATCCCCAAGGGGCCTTCCAGCCACATCTACCAGTGCCCCACTCCCTAACTTCCCTTGGAGGCTTGTGGTTCCAGAGACCAGAGCTGCGAGGCCGAGCGCTGACAGCACCTGCCGTGTGTCAGGCGTGAGGCTGGTGACCTGCCACCCCGTTTAGTCCCTGAGCCTGGCTGGCTCCCAGGAAGCCTGTCCAAACCCTCCCCTGTATCTGTGGCTCTGATCTCCCTTTTCCTCTCTTTGCTGTGCCTTTCTGTCTGGCTTCCCAGACCCAGGTCACCGCTGAGGCGCTGGGCGGGTCCTGCTGCCCTTCCTCCAGCCCATCTCCTCGGCTTCCCCTTCCTGCCCATCCTCTGACCACCTCACCTCACCCCCGGCCCCCGGGGCAGTGGCAGTACCTGCCATCCAGATCTGGTGCCCTGTTTCTGATTTCCAAGAGAAAGGAAAGCTCAGAATCGCTTTCTCACCAGGGACGTGGTTTAGAGACCAAGGCTACAGGCTGGGGCCTGAGTGCCAGGGCTTGGATCCCTGCTCTACCCCGGGCCTGCTGTGTGGCTGTGGATGAGCTGCTGCAGCTCTCTTCCCCCACGGAGGGTGGAGCCGCAGGAGGGGTCGTGCTGGTGCCACGCCCACGTCCGCCCGCAGTGGCTGCTGCTTGTTACCGTCCCCAGGGAATCGCTCAGGTGAGAGCAGCTCCCTTTCAGAGGCATGTGTACATCTGGCGAAATCGGGAGTTCAGAACACAGCCCCTGTGCTTCCAGCTTTCTCAAACAAGGGCTCCGGACACGCTGGCGCTTACTGCCTACACGTGGCTGGGAGGCCCCGCCACCCCCTTCTCCCTGGAGTCCCTGCTGGAGCCGCTCAGTGCAGGGAGCATCTCCCTCGCCAGTGGATGCCTGCAGCCAGCTCACCTGCTTTCAGACACCGCACACGCCGTGCCAGCGAATAGGTCTGGGGCTTGGTTCACGTGGCCTGGATAGACCCCAGAGGCTGCCTGCGGGCCTCTGGGGGCTGGTGATGGGCTCAAGAGAGCGGACCCCTCTCGAGCGGTGGGAGGAGCCACGACTGTAAGATGAGCCTAGGCACGGGGGGGGGGCTGTTTAGACTGAGCCACGTCTAACGTGTTCCCTGTCTGTTCCCTCCTTCCTTCGATGCTGGTGGGGGGCCTGTCCCAGGTCAGACAGAGGTTGGCACGTGGGAGACAGAGGCGGCCACCACACAGCAGGGCCTCGTGGGAGGAAGTGGCCTCGTGTGGGTGCCAAGGTTTATGGGCTTGAACTTGGGTCTGCGGGGCAGACTGCCTGTCTGAGGCTGGGACGGGGCGGGGGAGTGGGTTGTGCGGCTGCTTGGGGTGCAGAGTGGAGGCTGAACTGCAGACGGAGATGGGGCTGGGAGGGGTCTTCCGTTGTCCGGCTGGGGAATTGTGAGGACGTGGGCTCTGGCAGTGGCCGTGAGGGTTGAGGTGAAGACGCTGGTCTGAGAGCGACCCCGGAGGTGGAGCTGACTGGACACGGGGTTGGGAACGTGGGGCTCCGAGTCGTGTGCTCCAGGCCATCCTCTCACTGACGCGCCTGTGAGGAACTCGTTTCCAGAGTCAGTGGGGAAAGCAGAAAACAGGCGGCAGAGCTGCCCCGGATAACTGACCGATGGCACCAGAGGAGCACAGCCCCTCCTCCCGCCGCCCAACCCGCTGCTTTGGCCCCGGGGCTCCCGTCCACACGTGCGGGTCAGGCGTGAGGCTCGGGGGCCGGCGCTGTGCGTCTCAGGACCCCTGACGCACGGCCGAGGACCTCGTGCGGGGGCTTCCACCGTCGTGCCCATTTCAGAAGTTAAACTTGGTGTTTCTTAAGGATTTTTATTAAACTCACTTAAAGGCTGTAACGAGCCCATCCCACGTTAGCGTCTTGTGACAATGGCTGTTTCCTGGAACCGTTTTGGTGAGGACTGTGCTGCGTCTTCGCGAGCCTCCTCAGCGTGGCCCTGCGGTGCCGGTGCCCGGCCCTGCTGCCACTGCTCCACGTGGGGCTTTGGTGGGTGCGTGGGAAGGGGACCGCTGTGTGGGAGGGACATGCTGTGACCGCTTTTGGATCAAGTGGCTCTTTGGAAACGTGCCGAGTCTTGGCTGCGCCGTCCCTGCGAGCTCAGCTGTGCCGTAGGTGAGCATGCCCAGCTCTGCTCCGCCCCTTCTGCCCTCCCCAGCGCTCTGCCGGCCATGCCAGCTCTCGGGCAGCTCAGCGGGTTGGGCGGGGGCAGCTGGGAGGAGAGGTGCACTTGGCGGTCGGACATAGCGTCCAGGGGGTTAAAGGTTACAGGTCTCCCTAGAGTTGGCAGTTACATCTTATTTCTGCTGCTGTTCAGCCTCCCAGGTCCCTCCTGAATCCTAGAACAGAGGCCAGAGCAGAAATCAGGGCTTTGTGGTGGATCCTGCCCAGCAGAGCTGCGGGCTGGGGCCAGAGGCCTCCGTCCAGATCGGGCAAGGTCTCTGCGTTTGCCTGCAGGACCCCGGGCAGACCCCTGTCAGCTCCAGCCTCTCCCACGTGCCCCTGAGCCTCAGCAGCCGGGCGCCCTCCCCACAGGGCTCCTCGTGCACAAGGTGATGGAGATTGGAAACTTTTGTTCCACTGAACTTTGCCAGGGAGCTATACTTAGCCACCCAGTGGAGGCCAGGAGTGGGCCCTCCGAGTATAGATAGTAACCAGTGGGCTATTTTCAAACTCCCAGAGAACCCCCAGAATATTCTGGGCCAAAATGGTATTTATAGAAGACTCTGGGTCTCGGAAGGGAAGCCATACCCTTAGCGCGCCTGCAGCTTCAGTGGGGAGGTCTCTCTCCCTGGGGAGCGGGGCAGAGAGCCAGGCCTCTGAGACCCTGGGCGTCCCCTGTTCCTGGACCTGCACCCGGGGCCAGGCGCTCGCGCCCCGGGCACAAGCGGCACCCGGCGGGTTTCTGTCCACTGCCCATCACACGCCTCCTGGGAGCACTGTTCACATGGTGGAGACGCCGTCCCCACCCTCAGCTCGTTACGTGGTTCTCCTCTTGTCCAGAATCCTGCAGGTTTCTTAGGCTCCTGCTGTCACCCGGATGTAGCTGGACTGTCACCAAAACGCCTGCTTCCAACTCCTGGTCCTGAGGCTCCTGTCTCTGCCCTGCTCCCGCCTCGGAGAGGTGCCAGCAGCGTGCCTGGGGTATCGCAGTCAGAAGGCCTTCTTTTGGGAGGAAAGTGGAAATGTAATGTGTAAAAATGGGTTGAGAAAAGCAAGCCTGTATGTGGGGGATCCAGACAGTGGTCCCTGAGAAAAGAGCTGGCCGTGCCCACCTCACCTGGGACGAATGTGAGCAGGGGTTAGGTCCCCTCCCAATTCCCATCTGTGGGTGTTGAGAGGGGGTTCAGAAACCTGAATTTTAAGTGAGCCTTCTGGGTCAGTGCTGGTGATCAGACAAAACCACGAGGACAGTGAAGCAGGAAGCCACAAGGCCTGAGTGGCCAGTGGGGAAGTGGCCCTGTGGAGGGACATGGCATGCTGAGTGCAGCCGCCCTGCTCGGAGGGAAGCGTCTCCGCCGTCACTCCATGTCGGCACCCTGGCAGGTGCCTGGACCTCCCTTCACCCCATCTGCCAACCCATCCTCCGCCACCCTGTCCTCCACCAGCCCAGATATAAATATAAGAGCATTTTCCATGGGCCGGCACAGAAGGGCAGACGTGGACTTTATTTTAAGCCTGTGAAATTCCTTTCCTCCGTCCCCAACAGGTGCATTGCCTCATTTAGATATTGGGGCTCAGAAATAGAACACAATTTACAATATAGCTTCCTTCAGGCATCTGGATGCCATTTAAAAAAAAAAGTCCAGTGAGATGCTCGGGCACAACACAGACGTGGTTGGAGTCTCGCCTTCTACAGAGGCTGGAGAGGCCGCCCCCACACAGCAGAGGGCCGGGCACCTCAGGAGACGGTGCAGGGCAGAGGCCCGTTCTCTCCTGGGCTCCTGACCAGGACGGCGTGCTCAGGAGGGAGTGGGGCTCGCGGTGCTTGCAGAGGAGGCACTCTAGCAAATGCATCATGAAGCCGACTGCCCCCCTTCTCCCCTCCCCACCCTTTGAAGCCTGGGGGCAAAGGATTCATTCTTCTCCTTCAGTCCAAGTACAGGGACCCGCCAGGCATCTCTTGGCAAACTGTGTTCTTATCAGCTGTTACAGGGTGAACGGTGCCCTTCATTCTCATATCGAAACCCTAACCCCCAAGTGCCTCA